CGCACCTCAATCAAACAAGTGCAGTTTCTTAGATAATTTATAAAAGTTGAACACGCAAATTTTATTTTTATTATGACGCGTACCATATTAAAATAAATTAAAAGCTGGCACTCGATATGTAAAAATGGGTCTAAAATTATTTAGACACAAAATTCAGGTTGTGTGGATTGTTAAAGTAGGGGTAAAGAATTTAACTTCAATTTGTGGTTATACATTGAAAGAATGCGACGATTGAGCACGTAATAAGCTGCCTCCTCAAAACAGAGGAGGCAACTAAAATTATTAAATTAGCTGCAATTGAGCAAAAGGTTATAAATATTATATTGGATAAGTAGCTCTTATGATAATTATCAGGTTATTATTAATAAATACAGGCGGGCGCAACATTTCTGTATTCCCAAATTCATACTGGCATAAAATGTGCAAATTGGATTTTTTTGCGAAAATCTGGATGCCACAATTATAAGAGTATGTTATTTTATAACATCTAAAAGGCGTTTACAAAAAAAAATTAACGGGACGTCATCAAATTGTTGGTTAACGCTTTAGGTTTCCTAAAATACATACATATTTTGACAATCGGCCAAAACGGGAGACCTATTTTTTCATACTCTGTGGGTAATGGAACGTGAAGAAAACATGAAACTCGCCAGTCGCCCGATTTTGGATAGCAATTCATCTAATGATAGCCTCAAAATATAGTGTGCTTAATTTCAGCGCAATTGCAAGTTTTGTCGTAGGATTTAGATTTTTTTACTTCTCAAGCGAAAGCTAAGGAAGTATTGTAATACGATAAATTTATCTTCCGTTTCCGTCTGTCTGTCTTCTGTCTCGACTTTTATTAGACATGCAATTTCCGAAACTACCCGACCGATCATTATTAAATTTTATATGTATATTGAGAATATGGTGTAGAGTCCCCTCATTACTTTGCGTAGTGAGGGTTACCTAAATTTTACGAAATAGTATACTTCTGTACTCGTGGTTTATGAATTCGCCTTGAATTTTACTGAAAATTTTGAAAAATCGAATTTTATAATTTTTTTAAACTACGTATGGAGGATTAAAATTGAAGTACATTGATAAATCACAAATGTGGGTGCACAATGTTTTACGAATATATGCAGATAAATTTTGTAGCAATTTAGAACGTTTATTCTATAAAATAACATAGTACTACACTGTAGTTTGTGACTCCGTGTTGAGTTTTTACCCAAAACGTCCAGATTTAAAAAAAAAAATCAAAACTATAAAACAACAATTTGCAATATAATTTGGAATCTATAAAACCGAATGCTTTGGAATCTTGTAGATGTGTTAAAGTTATGATAAGTATATTAAATCTTTAATCAAAATATATTTGCTTATCCCTCAAAAAATTTATGATGTCATTTCAAAACTTTGTCGAATCAATTCTACCCAAAACGAGCAAAATGTGATGAGTTTTTACTTATGATTTATCATTGCCTTCATATTTTTTAAGTAAAGTAAAGTAATGAATGGGTTTGTTTATTTTACTGTTTAAATCAGGAACTCCACTTTCCCAGAAAATTTTGGGAATACAATACTGTTATTTTTCAATTTCCACTTTACACTAAACTAAATACGTCAAGTAAATTTAGCTTTCTTCTAGTTTTATGAGCAAGCAGTAGCCCCGCCCACCCACCTCTTATTCGTTCCAGAGACCACTCTTTTAATATTATTCCGTCCTAGCTTAGTAAGTTTTAGGCTTCAATTGAGATCCACCTTTCATTCGGACTAGACAAAATGAATCACTGAAATGGACGCAGGGTGGGGTGAATTATATGTGTTTTGTAAAGTGAGAATGGGAACTAATAGAACGTAGGCTATTAAAAAAGCGTTAATCGTAATTTTTGGTTATACAGTATAACCTCTATAATCCGAACCCACAATTATCCGAACATCCAGTAATCGGAACGAAGGCTAGTTGAAGTCGAAGTCTCTTTAGTTCGAACAAAAACTCTGCAATCCGAACTGAACTTGCAAACATGCACCAACATGCAAAAATGACGCAACATCTTATCAATGTATTTAGTTAAATTTCGAAAATTGTCGAAAATGGGTCGAAATTTGCATAAGGAGTAGGTATAAATAGTCAAAATTTTCAGTTTTGAAAAAGTCGTCTAAAAATTCTTAAAAAATCCAGGGATGTAGATCCCGACGTGTTGATTACGAAAATATAGCGTGTTTAGGGTCACGGAGTAATATTTTGATTATCCATTGTTGCTTAAGAAAACATTATTTTTGTTTAATAAAATTAAAGTTTATTTCTTGAAGTTTGTTTTTACCAATGTATGAAGTTGTTATTCATGTCCCTTTCATATTTTTGGAAAAATCGCTGATCCGAACAAATCGCTAATCCGAACACACCTTTTCCCCAATGAATTCGGATTATTGAGATTATACTGTACTACTTATTTGCTATAACATTTATTTCTTGTTTCTGAAGAACAAATGAGAGAGGGGTGGGTGGGCGGGGTAAATTTAAGTTTTTCAGACAGAATCTTTTATAAGCAAACAATAGCCCCGCCCACCCACCCCCTCTTCATTCCAGTGAATACTCTTAATATTGTTCAGTCATTTACCAAAATCAATCTTAGCAAGTACCACACTGCACCAATCCAAGTTCATATACGTATCCTTGATGAAGTCTTCACAAAATTGTGTAAAGTAATAACTCAACTCGAAAATGCTGGATATGTTTCATTGTACTTTCGGTGCGAGGGAAGTTCAGTCGAAACAACTTTCGACCAATTTTTTTTTAATTGTAGTGTAATTTTTAGATCACGTATCTTTGAAAATCGTCATTTGCCAAGATCAGTTACTAGTACCGCCCACCCACCCTCTCTTTTCTTTGGGGATATGTGATTTTCCAAGATCAGTCTTATTTTAGCAGGTACTAGCCCCGCCCACCCACCCGCTCTTTTCTTTGAGGATATGTCATTTGCCAAGATCAGTTTCATCTTAGCAGTCATAGAAAATTAGTATCCTAGAATTGGGTGTCAATCATCTTAGGCATCTAATTCCACAGACTTCTATAATTAAAAATTTTTGAAAATGTGATATTTTAGTGTCTAAGAATTTCGAACAACTTAATTTTACTAATTCAGTGTAGTATTTATACAGAAAATTAATATCCCAGAATTCCGTATCAATCATCTTGAGTATCCAAATCCACAGACTTCTATAATTTAAAATTTTTGGAAATGTGATATTTTAAGTAGTATCTAAGAATTACGAAACACCTAATTTTACTAATCCAGCTTAGTATTTATACTGAAAATTAGTATCCTAGAATTGTGTATTTTTTAAGCATTAATATTTCTGTGTACGAATTCCGAACTACCTAATTTTACTAATTCAACTTAGTTTTTATACAGACAATTAATATCCTAGAATTGCCTTAAGTATCCAAAATCCACGGACTTTTATAATATAAAATTTTTGAAAATGCGATATTTTAGTACCTAAGAATTCCGAAAAACCTAATTTTACTAATTCGGTTTAGTATTTATACAAATAATTAATTTTCCAGAATTGCGTGTTAATCATCTTAAGCATCCAAGTCCATAGACTCGTATAATATAAAACTGTTAAAATTTTTAAAAAATATTCTAAACTCCCCACACCTGAAAGATACTGGGTGATTAAACATACCCAAAAAACAAATGCTGAAAACTCTGAAAATTATAGAAAAGTCAACAGAAGCGGTGTAAAAATTAATGCTGTTGTTACAAGAACAGAATAAAAGATAATTTTCTAGAAACAAGAGAGAATTAATAACGCATCACTATAATAAGATAATACGTAAATATTTAGATAAACAAACAATTTTTCATTTATCTAATCACCACCTTGGGTTTTTTCAATTTTGAAATAGCGCGAAATTTTCTGCAACCAGCTTTAAAATAAACCGGTTTTGCGTCAAGAAATTAAATTAAATTTTGTGTTAGATTAACAGTTTTTTAAATTAGAGTTGTAATTTTTGTTCAGCAATGTTTGAAAATAAGTGTGGTTTAAAAAAAAAGTTACAAAAATTATAGTAAATAACTACCGTTACCACTTAGTCTAGACACATATCAATGTTTAACTTTAGATGTCTTTTCATAGTAATAAGTCTCATTAAATTTCGCCAGTTTCAACATATCCATAAGAAAACATTTGTGAATGGCGACTAAGTATATTAAGGGTTGAGGGCTGCAAAAAAAGACCCCCAAACTTTCACACACGACTGAATCAACCTTAATTGGTTCTCTTCCTATTGCTCTGCCAACTTTTTAATGGGTTTCCCCTAGTTAATTACAATTAAACTTAAATTAATTAGCCCCTAATTAGTATATCATTAATATCTCAATTTGATGTGTCAACTTTTTAATTAGAATTTATTCATGTTTTTCAATTGTACGTCAAATTTTCACGAATTTCCGACTTGACCGGAAGTTTTAAAATAGCCCGCTGTATCCTACTTTGATGAGTAAAATTCTGATGAAACCCGTTTATTCCGATTTCTACGGGTTGGAGATCTGAAAACCGCCTGATATACTTATTATCAATAAAAATTTTATCAAAAAAATGTCTTATAAACGCTATAAACTTTTAACAGGAAAAAAATCGTCGCAAATTTACGTTTGGCAAAATACACTATAAATCAGAAGTTTGGGTAGCGGCATTATCTAGCTAGATATCAGTTTACATGTTCAAATTTCGCTGATCAAAATCTCAATCGTAAATATTACACAGAAATTCTTTAATCAATTAAAAAAAACTGTTTTATGTCCAAACCAATTAAAGTATCGTTAGATTAATCTTATGCTAAACCGATATTGCCAAATTTGACCCTGCGAGTCCAAAAAATTAGTTGCATTTCCATAAATAATACGTATAAATTAACATATATATTTTTTGCCCGTACCCAGTCCCAGTCGTAAAACACATAAAAGAAAATCTCCAAAAATAAAACTTCACTAATCGCCACTCACCGTGTGCTTCTTCTCCTTATTAATAATCTCCAGCGGCGCCTGGATGCTGGGCTTTCCCAAATACCAGTCTTCCCTCGGATTGTAGTCCCCCAGGAACCTCACCAGCCTGGGTACGTTTACGTAGTTGTCGTCGTCGAAGTGGCAAAACCACCTGCGAGCAAATGATTGATTGTAAAAGTGACGTTCGAGACTATCGCAAGGGAATTTCTATGATTTACATATAAAGATCGGAGTGTGTAAGAGAGTGACAGTTGAGTTGGGCTTTGATGGATAACTGGACGGATAAGCAGATACAGTGCGCTTGATAAATACGAATCTTGACTCGTGACTGATGAATGCCCGAACGAAGATCTCTTATTTGATTAGACGGCTAAAAAGAGAAAAATGCGCTAATCAAGTTGACAAAACACGGATCTCGCTGTTGGAACGTGATGTGTTGTCAAAGAACAATGTAATAGCGATGTTACATCTTGTATTGGTTGTCTAACATTGCGAGGAAATAGTGTGCAGTGAACGTTATTTCCTATACATATTACTATAGCAAAATACCTCTGCACTAAATTTTAATACAAGCATTACTAGGTTTGAATACTTCGGTATATTAATAAAAGACTTCTTTCATTACTTTATTTTTATACAATTTCAAGCAATATGTATCACGTCCTAGCCTCAATCACTAATGATACTTCGACACATAATAGCCTGGTCGGTGGTACAGGATGCACACAAGACCAAATGGACGAAAAAGTCAAACACTGAAATTATGACGCACCGCGAGCGCATTCTCCTCCTGAATAAATTATAAAATCGCAACGGGGGCACCAATTATCCGATCATTGCGTATCCATGGTAGTGATTTATAATGTCCGATGGGGCGACGTGGGGCAGATGCGGACAGGATTATAATTAACAGAACCCGTTCTCATCGAGTCCACTCAAAACCTTATCTAACATCATTAAATATTAAACAGATTCGATTTCAATTAAATGAAGGACGAGGACTTTACGGCCGACGCCCGCTTTAGGTACGGATGAGTTTGTTGTTAATATTTTAGCGAATTGCATTGTCCCATTCGTCGGTCCCGAATGGGTCATAACTCCGATTCTGGAATTGGTTTCATATTTTACGGGAGACGCGAGGAATTTATTCGCGAGTTGGGACGGAGCAAGATAGTTCTGGACTCGATAATCACATTCATTCCGGTTACTTTTTTGCGTGGCGTCTGCGAGAAAAAATGTAATTTGCGGAGGCTGCGTAATTATAATCTCGATTTATATACGATCAAAATAGATTCGACCAAAACAGCTATTAATTTATTTTAATTAGCCGAAATTTCAGGTTTTATGATCACGGATTACTGTCGATTTTGACACGGTTCATTTTGAAGCCGCACCCAAAATGTTTTACTGTTTCATTAATTATGGTTAAGAATTTTTTTCGTGATCTTTAATAGTTTTTTACTTTCTACGTGGACTACCATCCATCAAGTTTGTTCTAACGCTTAATTAAAGCGGAGGCTGTGTTTCTTGCTTAATTATCACCGGTTCCATCCGATGTGATTTCTTCATATTGCCGACATCAACTTGTTAAGAGGTTGTGGCATGTTCGGTGAGGCTTTTCAGACTTCCACAGAGGCGTTTTAGTACGCTTTTAATCAAATTTCATCACATTGTAAAACCAAAATGTGTCCAAAAATAAAAATTGTATTTCTGCACAAATGACATTTAAAATTACTCTAAAGAGACAGAATGTACAATCAAACAAATTCAGTTTTTGACGACAACCCCTGTACATTAAAATAAAGATTATGTGCGGATTGGTAAACTAGTTTCTAGTTAAATTGTGAAAATAAAAATCGATTCATAAACCACAGGGTATTTCATTAAATTTAAATAGTATTTCCTTCACAAAATTTAGAGATGACGTCATCACTTGTCTGATGGGGATGAAAAAAACAAATTTTGGTTAGCGTTTACAACACGATATTTCTAAATTACTTTTAAAATTTTACAAAAATTAGTTCAGTAGTTTCACAGATTCTACCCAATAAAAGACGGAAATAGGACCTACTTTTTCATACTCTAGGTATTACGAAACGTCGTGAAAACACGAAATTAGCCGTTCGGCGGATGGAACCTGTTCCCTAGATTACGCTCGATGAAAACTTTTTGGCTCTTTTTTGGAAAACAATGTAGAATTTAAAAGTAAAAACTCAGGGGTGAAACTAATTTTAGGGAGGTTATTACATCATTTTAAGATTTTCTATGTCATTAAACTAATTTTACCGGCCAGAGTGGATGGGACAACCTAGAAATCGGGGATCGGGTGTCCGAATACAAATTTTATATACTACATTTAAATGAAGTAAAATTTCGGCCCTTCAGGCGCCGGTCTAAATTTTTCCCGCTCCTGAGAACGGGACTCCGAATTTTTTTCAAATTATGTACTTCAAAAACAAGATAGAAGGAGTCCATTCTTAAAATTTCAAAACAAAACAAGGGTTTCCCGAAATCCTTCAAACTACTTCAAAAACCAGGCACAAGGGGGCTCGAGATTCTGTCAAACTACTTCAAAAACAAAACAAAAGTGATCCCGTTCCCGAGATTCTTTCAAACAACTTCAAAAACAAAACACAACTGATTCCCGAGATTCTTTAGATTTTTCAACTTCTAATTTTTCGATGTTTTAAAATTTTGCACTCTTCATAGTCAAGAATAAGTCTTCGATTTATTGAGACCTGAAGTCTTAAGAGGAGTAGTAACTAACTAGTGCAAAATTTTAAACATCGGAAAACTTAAAGAATCGAAATTAAAAATCGAGTCAATGAAAAATCAAAAACTGAAAAACTTAAAAATCGGAAGTCGAAATTAAAAACCTAGTAAACGAAAAATTAAAAATTGAAGAACTTTAAATTAAAAAAAAAATTAACTCAAAAAACTTAATACTTAATTGAAAATCGAAGAACCACAAATTTCGAAAGTTGAAAAACCGAAAAATTCAAAAATTGCGTATCCAGAAACTGAAGAAGTTAAGAAATTAAAAATCAAAACATTGAGAAATCGAGAAAGTGAGAAATTGAAAAAGTAAAAAAAGAGATTTTTTTAAATCGAAACAGTGAAAAATCGAAAAACTAAAAATTGGGAGATTGAAAATTTAAAAAAACCTAAAAATTATATAATCTAAGATTCTTCTAAATCACTTCAAAAATAAGAAAAGTGGTCCCAAGATTTAGACTAGTTCAAAAACAAAAACAAACAAAAAAAATAGGTCCCTAAGATCCTTCCAACTACTTCAAAAACTAGACACGAATTATTTCCAAAATTTTTTCAAACTACTTCAAAAATCAAACAAGTGGTTCCCGAAATTCTTTTAGGTGTTTACATTTTTGAGTAGTAATTAACTACTACAAAATTTGAAACATCGAAAAACTCAAAGAATCGAAAAATTGGGTACTTGAACATTGAGAAATGTCGAAATTAAAAACCGAGTAAATGGAAAATCAAAAACTGAAAAACTTAAAAATCGGAAGTCGAAATTAAAAACCTAGTACACAAAAATGAAGAACTTTAAATTCAAAAAAAATTTAGACTCAAAAAACTTAATACTTAATTGAAAATTGAAGAAACACAAATTTCGAAAGTTGAAAAACCGAAAAATTCAAAAATTGCGTATCCAGAAATTGAAAAGTAAAGAAATTGAAAAATCGAAATATTGAGAAATCGAGGTGAGAAATTGAAAAATTAAAAAAAAGGGATTTTTTTAAATTGAAACAATGAAAAACCTAAAAAATTAAAAATTGGAAGATAATTAATTAAATAATTAAAAAATAGGTCCCCAAGATCCTTCCAACTACTTCAAAAACCAGTCGCAGGGTCCACGAAATTCTTTCAAACATCTTCAAAAACCAATTTTTTCAAACTACTTCAAAAATCAAACACAAGTGGTTCCCGAAATTCTTTTAGGTGTTTACATTTTTGAGTAGTAACTAACTACTTACTACAAAATTTTAAACATTGAAATACTCAAAGAATCGAAAAATTGGGTACTTGAACATTGAGAAATGCCGAAATTAAAAACTGAAAAACTTAAAGATCGGAAGTCGAAATTAAAAACCTAGTACATAAAAAATTAAAAATTGAAAAACTTTAAATTCAAAAAAACTCTAAACTCAAAAAACTCAAACAGAAAATTTAATAATTGAGAATCCAAGTACCTACTCCAAAATTCGAAAGTTGAAAAAACGAAAAGTTTAAAAATTGCGAATCCAAAAATTGAAGCTAAAAAATTAAAAATTAAAAAATCGAAATACATATTTACAAATCAAGAAAAGTGAGAAATCGAAAAACTGAAAAAATGGAAATCTGTAGCATCGATACACCGAATCGAAAAACTAAAAATTGGGAAATAGAAAAATTGAAAAACCCAAAAATTAGGTAATCTAAGAATGTTCTAAATTACTCCAAAAACAAGACAAGTGGTCCTAAGATTCAAACTACTTCAAAAACCGGGCACACGGTCCACGAAATTCTTTCAAACTTCTTCAAAAACTAAAAACAAGGGATCTCCGAGATTCTTTCAAACTACTTTAAAAATAAAACAAGTGGTCCCTGAGATTCTTTCAAATTACTTCAAAAACAACGCACAAGTATCCAAGATTCTTTCAAACTACTTTAAAAAGGAAACACAACTGATTCCCGAGATTCTTTTAAACTACATACTTCAAAAACAAAAGTGGTTCTCGAAATTGTTTCAAACTAGTTCAATAACCAGACACAACGGATCTTCGAGATCTTTGAAACTACTTCAAAAACAAGACACAAGGGGTCCTTGAGATTCTTTCAAACTACGTCAAAAATAAAACACAAGTGGGCCCCGAGATTCTTCCAACTTACGTCGAAAATAAGGCACAAGTGGTCCTGAAGATTCTTTCAAACTATTTCAAAAACAAAACACATGAGGATCCCGAGATTTTTTCAAAACTACTCCAATAACAAAACAAAGGAGGTCCTCGAAATTGTTTCAAACTATTTCAATAACCAGACACAAGGGATCTCCGAGATTCTTTCAAACTACTTAAAAAATTAGACACAACCGGTCCCCGAGATCCTTTCAAACTACTTCAAAAACAAAACACATGGGGATCCCGAGAT